TTTGCCACATCATTCGAATTGCTTTTTTTTCCAAAAGTACATCGCAAAAGTTTTTCACTTTTGCAAGTGTTTTTTTTACTTCTCCCTGACTACATTCAAATGTACTTTACTACATTCTATCTAATTTGGATTCTGGTACCCAGATCAATATCAGAAAATGAAGCCAAAATGATTGTGTTCAATGGTAAAGAATTTGCACAGTCACCGTCCATTTCGGGAACTCTTGTTCCCAAAGACACTTGTATTAAAAACTGTCTCGACGAAAATGAATGTATTCTAGCTTTAATGGCTACCGATGGTTACTGTATAAACTACACGTTTTCTTCCTTGACAGTTTGAGATACATCGATGAAGCTTCGGAGTCGGAGGGCCTTATGGTTGCAGTCAAAGTAAGTCGCTCCTAATATTATAAAGAAATAACCTAAATTGTATAGATTAGTGCAATGGAATGCCCTCGTGGCTCGTATCTAGGCATAAAAATGGCGTATTTGGACCGCCGGAATGATGCCAATTATCCCTTCGAATGGGAGAGAAAAGAAGACAGATGGTTCACCTCTTGCCAATGTCCAGATCCCAATACAATATTCAGAAGATCAGAAACAGAGTTCGTCTGTGTAAAACGATATGTTTATAATCAGGGAACTAGTACAGGAGCCCGACAGCTTTGTCAAAAAGAGGGCTTGAAGATTATAGGAATAGCCGATCAAGCAGAGCTGGATGCTCTTACCGGCGGTAAGGTTTTTCTGAGTCCGAAGCTTAATAAATGAATATCTAGGTATTGAAAAAGAGTTGTGTATTGATGGTACGACTACTTGCACTACTGGGTGTACGGTGGGGGATGATCAGTTTTAGATTGAAGCGTAATTCTGGAATTTTCAGACTAGCGACTACACATTCCAGGATGGTATAACAACGTCTATGGATGATGCGAAACTGAATTATGAAACGTGAGTTTTATCTCTTGGAATCACACTCATACAGCTGTTATTGATTTTTCAGTACAAACGGGTTTTGTCGATATGCAATGAACGGAATCGTGTATGCACAAGACTGCGATACGGCGACTGGGAGTCTGGAAGGAAGTGTGTTGTGTGGTTGGAAATTAACCCAATGAATTTTTCAATAACTCGTTCATATTATATGAAAATATGATTCTCTAAGTTTTTACCTACAAAACTGAGTAAAAATCACTCAAAACGGACGATTTTGAGCTGAGATACAGCAATTTGAAGTTTGGAGGTGAGAGACGCAGATACAGCATAACTCGCTTCTGAATTTAGCTAGAGACTTGGTTTTGTCTAGTTTTGTAGGAAGTTTCAATGGGACCAGAATGAACTAATTTTTAAAAAATATTCCTAAAATTTTTTTTGGATGCCTTATATAAAGTTAAAAAGTTAATTAAGCTTTATATGTCAAAATGTCTTATTTACAATCAAAATGTTTTTTAATAATATCCGCAGTCTTATCATAATCTTCGATCGCCTTCTTTCCACAAACATCTTCCATCACTTTCTTCGTGCAATCCTTCAATTTTGAGTATCTCTCACATGTCTCATCTTTCTTCGATCCAACAATATTATGATCTCCAAGACATGGGAATTTCTGGGCCGACGGTTTGTCCAACATCATTTTCCGTTTGCACATGAAAAACTCCGTGCTATACAACTCGAACCAATCCTTTTTACTCTTGAAGATCAATCGATGAATGTCGTTGTAGGAGCAGGATTTGGCAATGCATTTCTAGAAAAATCCTATAAGATCAGGCCTACAAAGAAAAACTACCTCGGCATCCTTGAACATCTGCAAGAACTGCACCAAATCGGTATCATTCGTCTGTGTAGTGTCCACCCAATCGATTTCTTTCTCTTTTTCTGCAATTGCCTCTTCTAGAGATTCACACTGAAGTTTATTGAACGAATGGTAGAGTCGATTGCAATTGTCTTGAAGTCCTCCAGGAAGAGTGGTTAACACATTGATCAAATTGTCGTAGTTAAAATTGGAGCTGAGGATTTTGACGGTCTCTGCGGAGCATTCTTTTTCGATGACTTCGAAAAAGCAGAATCTTCCGAGGGTGTAGGATTCTCGACGTTTCGGGAGGTCTTCCTGGAATTTTGGTCGTTGAGTTTCTGATTTTATAAGTTCAATGCTTTTTCTAGGCGATTTTAACATGGTGGCCTAACTTTAGCAAGTCGACTTTTCTAGGCCACCATGTCAAAATGGCACAGAAAATGGCCTGATATTCTCTTTATGCGTTTTTTCAGGTCATTGGAACATAGTGTCCTAGTTTTTGCAAGTTCAGTTTTCTAGGCCATTATGGTAAACTGGTTAGCAATGACCTGATGTTCCCATGCTGTGTTTTCTAGGACATTTACCACGGTGGCCTGGAAAACTCTACTAGTGAAAGTTAGGCCACCATGTTAAAATGGCCTAGAAACCCTACCAGATGAATCTCAAGTCATTTCTAGGCCATTACAGATGGTGACCCAAAAAAATCCAACTTGAAAAAGTTAGGTCACTATGTTAAAATGGGCAGTCCCCCCAGGTGAATATCAGATCATTTCTAGGTCATTAACGGTTAATTTCTAGGACAGACTCACCTCTAAACTCTAACACGTTGACACATTTGGATACCGTAAAACCTCTAATAGAACGACACCCGGATCGTCCACTTTGAGCCTATATATCTCATTTTCTGTGAAAGATATCAACAAGTGGCTAACTAGTAAAATGTTGCTGATATCTTGATAAACATTTTACTAGTTAACCACTTTTTGATATCTTTCAAAAGAAGTGAGATATATAGGCTCAAAGTGGACGATCCGGGTGTCGTTCTATTAGAGGTTTTACGGTATCTAATACAGGAAATGAGATATATGAGCGCAAGCTTGACCTTATGGGAGCCCTTTTATTACAGGTTTTATGGTAATTTGAATTTTAGTATATAATTTCCGACTCACCGTCAGGTAATACTTGTCAGATGTACAATTATATTTTTCATGATACACGGCCGAGTAGAACTTCTTCAGACACGGCTGCACATTTCCAGTCATCAACTCCAAATGATCACAAGCATCTCGCATACTCTCATAAGTGTGCTTCCCCTTTTTACATGTTGCCGCTTTGAAGCAACTCTAAAAATTTCAAATTTCAAAAATCAAAACTACGAAACCTTACTTTAATTTCTGTACACAAGTTATTCATCTTTTTGAGAACCTCAGATTTTGGTTTCACTTCCGTGTGAGTTCTAATCATAGGTCCGATTTCTGCCACTAGGGCTAGGCATCTATCAGAATCACAAGAATCATCGGATGTTGAATTTGTGGAGTTTTGAGAGCTCACAGAGCACAGAAACAGTACCAAAACTAACGGAAGGATCCATCGATTTTTCATATCTGAAATATCACTAAACTTTGAGCTCAATTATTTCGGGTCCTTCAAAAGGTATCAAAAAAGTTAAAAACTGATAAAATGTTTATCATAATATCCCCAATATTTTATCGGTTGGCAAATGTTTGATATCTCTTATAGTAACCGAGATAATTGAGCTCAAAGTGCATGTATAGGGTTCTATAACGGCAACTGTAGTTTTATTTGAAAATTGAAACAAAATAATGAAACCCAATCAGAAATAGCGACGGAAGAAATAAAAATAAAATCATCTTCTTTCCCATCAAAACAAATTGACATGGAGCAACAGCTGACGTTTTTTTGTTCCCCGCAAGATGAGCATTTGGTAGACTGATGAAGGAAAAAAAGCATGTCATGTGCTCGTTGATTCGAATGGCATAGATATGTGGAAGAAGAAAAATGTTGACATTGATCGAATGCTGAAAATGGATTCTGGAAAAGGCCCTTGAAAATAGATTCTTGTTTACTTGATACCTGATCCCAATGATCCCCCAGAAATGTTGCAGTAATTTTCAGTTAGTTCTATTTACAATTTCCTTCTCAAAAATCAACAATTCAACACTAACAAAATCAAAATTTTGGAAAATTATCCAAGTCTCACTTTTATTACGGTAGTCATGGTTTCAAAAAAGCAAACTTCTATTGTCTGAAACTCCCTGTCTCTTCTCTCATGAAGAAGAGACACATAAAGAAAATTACGACTAACAGTCAATTTCCAAAGAAACATATCAAGACACGTTCTCTGTAGAAAAAGCTTCAAGTCTGTTGTCCATTGTACAGAAAAATTCGAACTAGTTTTTATGCATTCATATTATACATCATGAAAGTTGGGACACTTTTAAAATAAAAAATGTACATTTGGTTCGGACCCACCCAGTACGGTCCAAACGGTGACTAAATTTGGTCAAAAAATTAAAAATTTTTCTCAATGGAGATAATGATTAGATTTAACTTGGAATAGATTAAACTTGCTGTTTTGAGCATTTTTTGTGTTGAAATGAAAATCCCATCTCGTTTCCTTTCAGATGAATATTTGTTCGCAAACTAACCTATTCTCCATATCGATTCCAATTTTCAGCTGTTCAGTTTTTCCAACTGGAGTCCTGTTTCGAGCCCAGCTTGTCATTCGTTTGCACCTTGATGAGGAAAGGGATAATTGTAGTCTGAACAAAAATAACTATTTTTCTAATTTGATTGAAAAAAAAAACTTACGCATCGACAAAATCCATCTCTTTGATGATCATTTCGGTAGCCAGAGATGGAAACTTCAAGAGCTTGATTCTGTTCAGTTCGGGTACTGGTTGTAGACGGGGCATTTTTGAATAGAGAAAACGTTATTCCCCCTGGAAATTTCTAAATCTTGGTCATTTCTCTTCGAATTTTCGCTCTTACTATTAAACAGAAAATAACTCTCCGTTTTGTGCTTGTATTAGTTATGTGTTATCGTTGTGGTTTTTAATACATTTTGAGCTGAGATATCGTCTCCGGTAAAAACTCGTCCCGAAAATGCGCTCTACGGGGAAACAGTTTATTGATTGTTATTGATTGTCATTTTTATTGATTGTCCCAGCGTTTTGAACATACTTGTGTTTGTCACACCCGCCCCCCCCCCCCTTTTTCTCAGTCAGCCACTCCAATAACGCCTTCTCAGTTTCGAAATGGTTCGTCGACAACTAGTACCCGACCTGAATAGGATCAACATTTTGAAGTTTCCATCGCTGGTTACCGAAATGATCATCAACGAGATGGGTTTTGTCGATGCGTAAGTTTTTCATGAATTTTGAAAACAATTATTATTTTTAGACTACAATTGTCACTGTCCTCAGCAAGGTGCAAACGAACGACAAGCTCGGCTCGAAACAAGACTCCGATGAAGATGCAAATTGCAATCACGCCATCTAGGTGTGTATTTCTCATTTTTGAAAAGAATGATACATTGAAGAATCTACGATTTTTTTGGAAATTTGGTACTCGTCCAGTTGGAAAAACTGAACAACTGAAAATTGGAGGAATGGATATGGAGAATAGGTTAGTTTGCAAAAAATGATTTTAAATATAAACTGGTATCACACTTCAGACGTGTTCGATTCGATGGATGGCTACAATATAGATCATTCACTTCCAAAAATTCCATTGATTTGGCTATGAATGTAGCCATCACGCACTTGTTCTCTGTTTTTCGGTGCATTGAGGTTACAGTAATCGATATTAATTTCGAAATGCTAAATGATCGATTTCGTGTGAGGAAAGCGCTGGAATCAGTGAAAACCACTTCAAAATTGTTTATCCGTGGTCCCAAGTTTGATTCAGATGTGCGATTCATCCTTTCCAATATTGAAGTCACAAAACATTTCTACCACTCCAGCACGTTTTCAATGGGAACCACTATTGATGACAGGTTGAATTGCTCTGAAGTCATTGAGATTGGGAATAGTTCATGGATGAGTCCGGAAAGATTATGGACCATGAATTGTGAACGTATTGAACTTCTCCGATCCCGATTCACTTCAGATGACGTTATGGAGTTTTTGAGAAGATGGATCGATGGAAATGGAAAGGACAAAATAAGTTATGTGAATATCGAGCATCCCTTAGGTTTCGGATCTTTGGATTTTGAGGAATTGAATGCGACACCTTGGGATCCAATCATAGAAGAAACTATGGTGCGACCAGAAAACTCGTGAGTTCGAATGTGCCTTTAAAACCTACTGTATTTCCTCTAATAGAAGCCCACCTAAATCGTCAACTTTGAGCTCAATTATCTCCATTTCTGTAAAATATATAAAAATCTCAAAACTAATAAAATGTTGGTGGTATTATGATAAACATTTTATCAGGTGACAGATTTTTAATATCTTTCACAGGAATCGCGATAATTGAGCTCAAAGTGGACCGTTTGGTCTTCAATTTACTTGAAAAAATTTAACTTTCAGATTGCATTGGGGTTTGTCAAGAGCAATGAATATCCAATGTCTAGCTGATGGTCGTGTGGGAACAATTTCTCAAAACACTGAAATCGAATTTCATTTTTTAGTATGGCAAGAAAAACCTGTAGAAGTTGTTAATATTGAAGAAGAGATTTGATTGTTATTTTCGGTCAAACCTGTATCAGAAGGGATCCCTCTAATTGAAGGGTCCTTGTCATTGAAATACCATCTTTTTTTCTTGGTGGACTTGCTTTTCTGAATGAAGTATTCGATGCGTTTTTTGGAGTTTTACTTTGCGGCTCTACTCCATGGAAAAGAGACTGAAACTTTGGACCATAAAATTTTGCCTTTTTGAAACCATGACTACCGTAATAAACGTTTACGATTTCTATAGTTTCTTAAAAGTTTTATTTTTTTCCTATTGTTAGTTTGATCTTCGGCCAAGAAAAAAAAAGATTCGTTTTTATTTTCCAGACCACTTGAGCTTGACTCTTGTCTCAAGTCATATTCGTCATCAACAGAGTCATATTCTCTTTTTTTCTCAGTTTTAAAATCCCGAACCTGAAGGCTTTTACGTGGGCACTGTTCTAGCAGTACCTGCTACTACTGCTATTACTACAGCCCCAAACACTGGGACTACAGTGCAACTTCCGAGTGGTAAAATACTTGACAATGGAGTAGATTCAAAAGTACCTACTATTGCTATTACTGCAACCCCTAGCACTTTACAATCGTTGACCAGTCTCAAACCTGGAACTAGTGGGCAAGTTCTGAAACCTAAAGACTCTAACGTGGTTGTATTGATGTCTTCGATCAGTCCCAAACCAACCTACACCAAAATGATCATGTTTTATGGGAAAGTTATTTCACCAACCACAGTGCGAAGGAATGTATCCAGGAGTGTTTTGCCAGCAAGTTTTGCCGCTTCTTGCTGATATGGACACAAGACGAACATGCAGATTCTATGATTATACGGAAGGAACAACTATTATTATTGAAGAGACTACTGATAAGGATGGAGAAGTCGTTGGGTTTAAGGTGAGGGAATTGGAAATAAGTACCGTATTCTAATAGCTCAATTATCCCGGTTCCTGTCAAAGATACAAAAACGTTGTCCACTGATGAATCGTCATTCATAAAGAAATGCTTTGTCAGTTGATGAATTTTTGATATCTTGCATAAGAATCGAGATAAAACGTTAACAGTGTGGGTCCCTTTTATTAAAGGTTTTAACTCAAATTTTCAGGTGGATTTGGACGATTTTGATTGCGCACTGACGTACAAAGATTACATCGGTTCTATTGTTACCAGGTCTGGTAACTACGGTTACGTTTCCAGCAAGATAATAAAATGGGAGAAAACCGACAATGGATGGACAATGACAATGTGATAATTCTTTGCATTCTGAAATTGTTTCCTGTGAAAATAAACTTGTTGGTTGAAAACATCGTATTTCTCTTATATCAATCCACTTTGATTTCAATTATCTCGGTTCCTAATCAAAAATTTGTCCACTAATAAAATATTTGTGATATTATGATGAACATTTTGCTAATTGACCTCTTTCCGGAATTTTTCACAGGAAATGAGATACATGTGCTCAAAGTTAGAGAGCGCTTACGGTAAGTATGGGTACCTAGAAAATTTAAAATCTGCGACTAAACTAAAATTCATATTTCGTTTGTAGTTTGATCTCCACTCAAGAAAAAAAGTATCCTTTTTTTATTATCCAGACCACTTGAGCTTGACTCTTGTCTCAAGTTTTATTCATCCTAGGCAGAGCCATATTCTTTTTTTACCCAGTTTCGAAAATGTTGCTCCTTCCAATCCTGATATTTCTTCTCGTCTCTACCCTGTCTGATAGTGTGGTCCTCCGGAAATCCGCTATTTCTTTCACGAAGATGATAAAAAAATATCCGCCAAGGTTCCGACGTTATCTCCAGACGCTGTACAAATCGATCGTGAAACCTGTATTATACAATGTTTAGAAGAGACTGACTGTTTTCTAGTTTTCTCAAAATCGAAGGATCTTTGTATAAAGTATAACTACAGTAATACCTCATATGTCGTGGTGAAAAAAACGGAAGCATCCGAAGGAAGTGTGGTGGCATTCAAGGTAAAAAATTGGCGGCCTGTCGCCTCTCGCGCTTTGTCATCGCTTTCTTGTTCAACGCCGATAATTTTTTTCCTCCCAATCTGCAAAAATCTATAATTTAGGCTTTGTTTCGGGAAATTTCGTTTACGATTCAGCCATTTCCTTATCATCCACGTCTTTTCCTTCGTCTTCTGAATCGGAAATTTCGCCGCTTCGAAGCCGTTCATAGTAATTCATGAGAACCTGGAAGTTTTTCGATTTTTAGGAGGTTTTTCTCGATTTTTTCTTCAAAAAAAAGCGAATTCTTACCTCCACCTCCTTATTAAAACCCCCAAAAGAGAGTCTTCCGAACATCAAGTTCTCCAATTTCGCATAGTCTTGACAAATTTCGTCTTTTGGGG